GGTAATTAGGAAGGTCACCAACGACAGGAAAGAAATCATATTTGATTTTTGAATTGCATAATCAATAAGAAACAAGAAAAAAAAACTAAATAAAGGTAAGGAATAAGCACAATAACTATCGCGTTGAAATACTGAATAAGATGCTATAGCCGGCGATTCCTGCGTTTCACTAACCATTCTGGGCAAGATGTGATTAGCTTCTCATCTAGGTGATAACTCCTAATTTTCTAGTACTACTTACTGTACTATTCAAGAAATTCCTGTGTCTTTCTACTTCATAAAAATCTAATTTTAGATAGATGACGTCTTCACTGCAGGCGTTGTTGCTCGTGAGACTGGAGTCTCATTCCGACGGATACCTATCTCCCAAAAGTTGTTCACTTTCCAGTTGTTATTTAATGCAAGTGATAACGCGTGTGGAAAGATTGGTTTTGAGTAGATTTCACAAAAACGATGTTCATAGAAAAGAAATTAATTTTATATGCCTTATTCGCGCTCCGCAGAATATTTCTGAATGAGCTGGTTACCTCTAAATAAGTCGGGAAATCTACATGATGAACGACTCTGGTGCAGAGTTGAGCAGGAGGAAGCGAGAGAGTTTGGAAGCTTCAAGGAGCGTCGGAGATTTAGTGAAAAAACAAAGAACACCTGATTTCGTGATAAACTTTTCGACTCCAGGAGTCTTGCCAGCTTAAAGTATGAGTCGTGAAACTGGTCGTTACGTAGGGAAGATAAAAGATCACTCAACTTTATTGAAGATGCAGTCGGCAGAAAATGCTAAAAGAAAACCAAAGAAACCGTTTTGTATACTAAACCGCTTAAAATAAGGAGGGCTGGACACATGATGCACGTGAACGACAGTCGAAGGACAATAATCATTAGTTCTTCGTATTTTTGTTGAGTAAACGCAAAGTGTTATTATTCTTTATTCACGAATGAGCTGACGTTCACGAATTCGAATTCGAAAACACGAATCACGAAAGAAAATTCACGAATTGCATAATTTGTCCCAGTGGTAGAGACGGTGATTGCATGAGCTCGGGTATAGTTTATCTGATCTCCTGTAAGACGTGCGGTGACGAATACATTGGCGAAACGGGCAGACCCCTCTGTGTCCGCATAAAAGAACACCTAGCCGGCAAACATAGACCAAATACCCCGTTAGGCACGCCTAGGACCCAGAAACATAACGGGGAGGACTTTGAAGTATGTGTCACGATCCTCCCACGCGAATCAAGAACACAGGCGCGAAAAACTCTCGAGGCACTCTGGATTAATTCCAGAAATCCGAAAATGAACCGCAGGGAAGAATGCCTCATTATTACGCGTGATATAGGGCAGTATATAAAACTGCTTTTCTGATGTGAGGGGCACATTATACTTCCACGTGATTTCTGTGCGGTTGGTCTCTACGTGACATACTTAATGGAGACCTCATAGAAAGCGGTGAGTGTGCAAAGCTGTGTTCAAAGTGATTGAAATCTTGGTTTGGGGTTTCTTTGTTTGGTTATGGAGGCGTCTGGCCGAGTGAGTTGCTATCAACTTGACCTTTCCAGGCTCTGAGGAAGGCGAAATCCGCCGAAAGGTCAGCTTAATCGTGAACAAAGAATAATAACACCTCGCGTTTGCTCAACAAAAATACGAAGAAAATTACTTGATCAATGCCGAGGTTAATAGAAAGTCGGTCGTGGGAATAATCATTAGTGACTGTATCCTTCGATGTCAAACGTACCGCAGAAAAACCACCGGCCCGGTGGTCAGAGTTGGCGACAAAAACCTTGGAGGAAAAATGTGATGTTCCAAATGCTAATAGAGCGATCCCCAATGGCTCTCAGTAGGCTACTCTTGCACGCTTGATTATATATGAAAATTCGTACTTCAATTTCAAATAGGCAAGGAAGACAAATTTTCAAAACCAACTCTTATAAAAAAAGGCAAACCAAAATGAGAAAAATTTGGTGGACAACCTGAGATGACATGCGGATTTCACCGTGCTGCTATCCAGTTAATAATTCAAAGCTGTAAACAAACAATAACACCGTCGATCGATGATGAAAATAGGGTCTCTTTTCTTGCCAACGATGCTCGGTAGAAATTTTGTGCCTTGGACACAATTTTGACTGCAGATAAGTAGATTTCTAGAAATATGTAAGTAATGTGATCGGGTCGGAAATCATTTAATAAGCAGATCATCAAGATCGTCGTTGTGCGAACAGGAAATATTTGCGTGTCGAGACCCTGAAGATCAATCTGAGATATGCAACGGGTGCAGTTACTCGCGACATCGATTCTTGTCTTCCGTCCTTAAAAATTTAAACAATTCAAAATTCCGACTGGACTGAAAAAGTCGATGCATTGTTTTCTCAAAACTGGAGCTTTTCTATTTACACCTTTACTGTGCTCTTATGTTGAATTAAATGGTCTTCATCTCCTTTTCATCTAGTTTCTTTCAGGCTATAAATAGAAGGAGCTTTTAGTTGGTTCTGAACTAGCCGTTTGCACTTCCCCGGCCTATTTTTTGGGCATACGTGACGTTAAAAAGAGTGGGCACAAATACAGTGGCGCCCGTTCGATTACCTACTGTTTTTCAGCGAAGCGAATCATGCTTCTAAAAGAGTGGAAAAGGTTGCGGATGGTAAGCCTATCATTGTTCGCCTTTCTAATGACTGTTGTGCTAATCGACATCTTTGAAACGGCATTTCTTTCGTCTGCCACACGCAATCTGCCGTTTTACCTATACGTGCCCTGCACTTGCGAAGAAATCCTCGCAGGTAGGTGGCTTTCGAAAAGAATTTACTAATCGCAAATACTGTTCACTGAAGGGATGTGTAACGTCGACCCAACGATATGGAATCAGGAACAAATTGTTAAAATTTTTAGCAAAATAGAGCTGTTCACCCTACCATTTTGTCAACGACAGTCGTAAATAAAAGGTCACACGTCTAAGGCAAATTCATTCGAGTGGTATGTCAATCCAGAAGATTTAACTCAGTGTGATTGCAATGACCCACACCAGTGATGAACGGCTATGAACTACCGACCCGAGTTACCCCGGTTCTGAAGAAAGCGAAGAGGTCGAGACTGGCCAAACAACTGTTAGCGAACAACCATGTACCATCCAATCAACGAAGGAAGCTGCATTGAATTTCACATCCACCTTAAAGCAAAATCGGTTTGCAACAGTTACAAAGCCACAATGTTAACTTTTTTGGTACATCTTGTAGTAACTCCCACGTCCGACTTTCTATTAACCTCGGCGTTGATTCAGTAATTCTTTCTACTTCTGTTTAGCAAACACGAGGTGTTATTTGATTTCTTTATTTACGTACAAGCTGACGTTTCGGCGGATTTCGCCTTTCTCAGAACCTGGAAAGGTCAAGTTGACTGCAATCTACACAGCCAAACACCTCCATAACCAAACAGAGAAAGTGCTGAACCGAAATTTTAATCACATTGAACACAATGTCTTTGCACACTCACCGCTTTCTATGTCTTCCACTAAATATGTCACGTGGAAACCAACCGCACAGAGTTCACACGGAATCGTATTGTGCCCATCTCATCAAAATAACAGACCCATCAGAATAACAGGTTTATATACTGTCCAATATCACGCGTGATAATGAGGCATTCTTCCCTACAGTTCATTTTCGGATTTCTGGAATTAATCCAGAACGCCTCGAGAGTTTTGCGCGCTTGTTCTCGGTTCCTGTGCGAGGATCGTAACCTGTACTTCAAAAGCTTCTCCGTTATGTCTCTGCGTCCTACGCGTGCCTAGTCGGGTATTTGGTTTACGTTTGTCGGGTAGGTGTTCTTTTATGCGGGAACAGGGGTCTGCCCGTTTCGTCAATGTATTCGTCTCCGCACGCCTTACAGGAGATCAGTTAAGCTGTACCCGAGCTCCTGCAATCACCGTCTTTACTATTATTGCAAATTGTGCAATTTTGCATTGCACATAAACGATCATATAGGCGGCTACGAATTAGCTGGCGCCTATGAGTATTCGGTGGTATTTCAACTATGTTTACCGAATTCTCTAGACTCGCCCTTCTTAAACAGCGTTTTATAGCTGCACTTACATCATTTGAGATGAAGGGTGAGATAAACGGGACTTCTTATCGCTAGTGTTACCGGTTGTTTGGAAGCCTCAAAGTCCAAAAGGGAGTTGTCATTTATCGTTTTAGTTTTGCTGAACAGAAGTAGAAAGAGTTAACTTTTTAATTTACTGCATAAAACTACTTTTCGCTGAAGGGTACTATGAATGGTACAACCACAACGATGCCGGGATATTTGCAAAACTCCAGATCGCAGGTGTCTGCGGTGGAGAACGATTAAGCTATTACCCCTTCCGGGGGCTAACGCGTTCACCACCACATCATGCGAGTCCTTCGGTTCCCTGTGTTTCAGCTAGCTCTATCGATCAGTCTCCTAAAAAAGTGATAAAGCCGTTTCTTCGGTCGGCCATTTGGTATTTCAAACATATTTGTGCATTTCCCACGCTTCCTATTTTCCATAAAGTACTTGATCTATGTTCTTCATAACCGTTTTGTTACAACGTTATCCTATTTTGCTTCTTCATACCTGTTTTTGTTTTTGACTGCAGAATCCATTTCTTCTTGTGTTGGCATTTTATGAAAAAAATATTTAAATGGATTTAAACACCCAAAATGAGTTGATCTGTGTGACCACTTTTTTTACGCATGGTCTTTACACTTTTTTTTTTCAAGAACTAAGTAAATATTTTTTTATATCGACACTCAATACACTCTGCAACGTCCAATTTATCAAGCAACGGAACTAAGGCAACAGACGGTATCCATCTACGAAGGTTTTACGAAGAAGTGAAGCGGAAAGGAATTGGTCGAATGGTGAACAGAACATAAAAATCACATGTTTGTTCTGTTCATGAAAAGTCCAAAATCGTTTTTTCTTTTCAGGGCGGATCGAAGACTAATATTTCTCTGGTGTCCGCCTTTCAGCATCCAGACCATATTTACGTGATGATGACATCACTGAGTAAATACGGGTCTGTTTAAACAGTTTATTCCGTTGAAATACCTATCTTTGAATTAAGAAATAGCAGAGCCGAATATTATGTGATAATAAGGTTGCATCCCTGAGAAATTCTTACTGGTGCTCACGTGCACTCAGTGGTCAGTAGGGTTTAGCATTCAAAACAAAATTGTGCTATTAATTTCGTGGACGTCATTTTAGAAGCAATTAAGCGGCGAAATTCATAGCTTATCAGACCTAAAAATTCCTTTAATAGCTTGCGATTTCTTATGGCTTGACTGAGCAAAGGATTTTCAGCATTTTTTCCATGTAAAAAAAGTTCTCATTCCGTACGAAATCTTTTAACAGAGACACGGTCTATTGTCGTTATTTCAATCACCTACAAAGGGAAATCGATCCGCCCTTCAAAACAGTCGTATTTCCGGAGTTCACTGCACTCTGCCCTCATCGTGGAGGATCGAGGTACATTTCGCTCACAGATGCACCGACCGGGACGTACGATTTTCCTGTACCAGTTACCGATCGCACCCAAAATGGTTGAGTCTTTGGCTTTTAGCCGTGCTCTTGCAGAAGAAAAATCGGCCTTCCTCTTGTTATAGTTCAATTAGAGAGATTATTTTCACAAGCATAGTTTTTCATTTTCTCATTATTCTGGACCATTACACCGCCGACGTCAAGAAATATTCCAGTCACAACTCACTATTTCTCTGCTTGCCTAGCTCCTTTATACGGTACAGAACCGAAGTGGTTATTATTATCCGAGTTTTTGGAACACCATAAGATTCAGGTAAACTTTCCTTTGTTTTGTGAGCTTTGTTGTGACAGTGAGCAGAGTATATCATACTGGCCTCCACTTGTACTTCCGTAACTTTGAAGTTTTTCTTGACTCCAGTGACCAAATGTAAGGGGAAACACCCGAGTGTATTTTGAAGTTGAGCACTGAAAAATGCATCAGCACGGTGAGACGTTAAGCACTATAGAAGCATTATCTCAATTTTGCGTATTTCATGTACCGACATGAAGATAACGAGAATAATAGCGTTCGGCTTATTGAAGTCCTGGCAAGGCAATTTACTTCACATGCAAAAATTACCTTGACTATTCTATTTTTGAACGTTTTCGAACCTCTATTTCACTTTTTAACCCGCAGTTAAAAAGAGATAGCACAGTATTTAGGGTGTGACATATTTCTACATCTACATAAATAACTTAGACCAGTACAGCCGGACACTGTTAGATGATTACGTTCGTGCCGGAGAGGCCGAGGTCGTTACTCTTCGCGACCACTCCGAAAGAGATGACAAGCAATGGCAATTACCTGAACTGCAGGTTAGTATCGATAGATTCCTGAAATCTATCTCCTTTTCGAGTCACGACTTATTTCAGAATGGTTGTTGAGAAGACGGTGTGATATTTATGACCTATTGTGATTTATCGTTTTCGAAAAGCGAATTTTCATCTCCTAAAATAGGAGTGCACGCCGAGTGCATGCAATGGCATGTCTGTTTTACACACTAAACGATCGCTAGAGAAGACCGTTAGAAAACTCGTGAAAATTAGTGAAGCGTTTCCACACTTTATTTGGAGATCCTTTAGATTTTAGTGCCATTTAGTAATAATGGTGCTATGTGATCGTAGATCTTACGACATATTGGCAACGATGTCTTCGTCATTTAGGCAGTGAGTGATCAAGTACGATATATATATATATCTTAACCGTCTTTTGTCGTCTTCTCTACGCAGGAGGAGATAGACAAATGCTTCGAATTATTGAACGAGCAGTCCGAGTACATAAAGTTCACCCGGGAAAAACCGAGAGAAAATTGGCTTCCGTTTTTGGACGTCCAAATAAACCTATCAAGTAGCGGTTACCTGACAAAGTGGTATCGAAAGCCAAGTAACAAGAACATCCTTGTCCATTTCCTTTCTTCCCACCCTTCACAAACAAGGAGGGCACTTGTGAGAAACATGTTTCGAACAGCCACCTCTGTGTGCACTACCAGGGAACTAAAGGAAGAATCGCGCGACTTGGCTCGGAAAATAGCCATCTCCAATGGCTACGAAATAGCAACCCCACGAGATAAGTTTACAAGGAGAACGACGCGCCCACGCGAAACACTTGGCCAAAAGAAAGTCCCGTTCATGTTGCCTTTTATAAGCGATGAAGTAAGCGTAGCTATAAAACGATGCTTAAGAAGGGAAGGTTTAGAGGAATCGGTAGCGATAGTTGAAATACCACCGGCTACTCTACGTCGCCAATTAGTTCGCAACCGCCTGTATGACCGTCTGTGTGAAACAANAGGGACGGTGATTGCATGAGTTCAGGTACGATATACCTGATCTCTTGTAGTTCTTGCGGAGATGAATATAATGGCGAAATGGGCAGACCTTTGTGTATCCGTATAAAAGAACACCTAGATGGCAAACGAAAACTAAGACGANTGTTTCGAACAGCCACCTCTGTGTGCACTACCAGGGAACTAAAGGAAGAATCGCGCGACTTGGCTCGGAAAATAGCCATCTCCAATGGCTACGAAATAGCAACCCCACGAGATAAGTTTACAAGGAGAACGACGCGCCCACGCGAAACACTTGGCCAAAAGAAAGTCCCGTTCATGTTGCCTTTTATAAGCGATGAAGTAAGCGTAGCTATAAAACGATGCTTAAGAAGGGAAGGTTTAGAGGAATCGGTAGCGATAGTTGAAATACCACCGGCTACTCTACGTCGCCAATTAGTTCGCAACCGCCTGTATGACCGTCTATGTGAAACAACAAATTGCGTAATTTGCCCTTACGGTAGGGACGGTGATTGCATGAGTTCAGGTACGATATACCTGATCTCTTGTAGTTCTTGCGGAGATGAATATAATGGCGAAATGGGCAGACCTTTGTGTATCCGTATAAAAGAACACCTAAATGGCAAACGAAAACTAAGACGAAGCACCCCACTAGGCACGCATAGGATACAAAAGCATAGCGAAGACGATTTTGAAGTAAAAGTCACTATCCTTGCACAGGAGTCCAAAACACCAGCGCGAAAACATATATATATATATATATATATATATATATTCTTATTCGTTGTGTGTTTTGCTGCGATAGTTATTGTAAGCAGTTAATCACTTATTATCACGGATGTTTCGCTAGGAGTTAAGTGATAAAACTTTCTGCGCATCATTTGCGAAAACGATGTGTTGCCGGCAGTTGAACGAGTTTCTTCCTCTCACTGAGTCCCGCGATTACCACCTTTCATGCTTTTAGGTCGAAGTAACGCGAAAGGCTGTTAAACAAAATGAATAGGAGGGCGTAATATATCGGTCCCAGGGGAGCATACTGTCCGCCATTCATTAAATTGAGTGTCGTTTCACACGTCGCCCAGTGAAGATAAAACGATATCATGAAACGTGTTCAAGCATTTTGGGAGGAAGAGAAATGGTTTTCACAGGGTACTGGTCATAAGGATTTGTTATTTACTGTCTTTGTTCACATCTTGGAAAACTTCTCATAAGCAGACATTAGGTAAAGACGGACTAATTGATTAATCCACAGAAATTGATTTACACTTGTTTACTCACATTTTTGTAGGAGTGCCTCACACGTGCACGCGGACATTCTCAATGGGTGGCAATGATCGACCTCGATGAAAGGCTTACTCCAACCGAATACCGTGGAACTCTTCTAGATTACCTCCAGTTTGTAAATACATAGAAAGCTTTCGATGTGTTTACATTTCTCGTTTAGGAGTATTTCCGACCCAACAATAGCAGAACTTTCATTTCGACAGCAGTGGATTCTTAGGTACGAAAGAGCGCCAGAAAAATACGCCAATGAAAGTCAGGTCAGCTAGAACTTCTCTGTGACATTAACACAGGCTTTTATAGGCAAATCGTATAGATTTTCTTTCCTTGTTTCTACCCAAAGACTAAGGCGTTATCTAAAGTTTTTAGCCGAAAAACGTGGACACTTTTTGTCTATGACCTGCAAGAAAACGAATACGTAAAGGAGAATTACTGCCAATGACTTGTATGACTTCAGTTCTCCACAACGTAATCCACTTTTCGCAGTTTTTTTTCTCGCACTTCCACAATCTTTTTTCACTCAACCCACCTTCACTGATTGTGTGGATTCCAGCCCTTCCTCGATTTGATTCGTTTCCTCGCACCAGTCGCCCACCAAAATTTTCGCATTTGGCGCGTGGTTTTAACTGACGCTTGAGGATTTTCTTTATCAACACTGCTCAATTATGGGAGATTCGATCACAGCCAAAATCCTAGGATAACCGTGCAGGACCGTCTCCAAGTGGTTTGGAGGGAGTGAGTTGATCGCATACAAATCGGCCACCAATTTCTCGACTCCGACGGGATAGGAGGCTTGGTGGCTCTGGGGATAGGCGAAACCAGAGCATAACACTCCTTTGATGAACTATGTCATATTTTTGAACAACTTTTTTGTTACTTGCATTTATTTCGAACGAATACTTTTGGACGTTTTATTGAAAAGTTGGATGCAACATTGATTCTCGTCAACAATTATATTATATAATAATTAACTATTAATATATTTAGCACATAATTCATGTGTGTATAACTAAGAAACAAATATATATCTAATTCCTACATAAATAATTAAGGTTGCTGAATTGATGCCAACGTGGCGATATCACAACACATCACATGTTTTGCCGCGTGGACACACAGCGAAGTACATCGTTGATCCAAAAAAGGTATCCCAAATATGCTGAAGTAATCTGAATAGTAATTTTATTAAGCTCGGAAAAAGAAAGGGTGTGTAACGTTAGCTACTCAAAGTCAGAAAGAAACATTTATGTGGAGTTTATGAGGAATATTCGTTGTGTAACGTTAGCTACTCAAAGTCAGAAAGAAACATTTATGTGGAGTTTATGAGGAATATTCGTCTTCAAAACTTCTAAATTGGTCACTCCGCTTCAGGTCGCAATTGTTAATGTGCACAGTGTTGACTTGTTTTTCGACGGCTATGGGAAGTATTACATGGAACCATACGAGGCGATTGTTAGGTAGGGGCTTAGATTATTGTATTTTGTTACAAACATTTGTTCATTTATTGTAAACACTTATTTCGTTCCCTTGCAATAGTAAAACAGATTAATCGAATAGACTAACAATTTTTTCGGATACGATCACATTGGGATTTTCGCTTGTACTTCTTACCACTACTCTATTAGCGAATTTTAGTAACAGAATTTCTTCGTAATAACTTAAAATATGACCTTGTTAGACATACTATGTACTTTCCAGGATGATTTTTCTATGCTCATTGAAATTCTTATTCAGGCATTACCGAGATATTCATTCTGATAACTGGGAAAAGGTTTGGCTACCCTATTTTGAAGGGTTTGGAGAGTTCTCGATGACTGACTATCCTGAAAAATACATGAAGACGTTAAGAGAAAATGTGCAACGGCGTCTGCAGTACGTGTACGGTGGAATGCAATAATTAGTCTTGGTGAAATCTACGCATAGATACGCAGAACGTTCAATAAATTTAATGGTTGATATCGTCCTCCGGTTTCCGGCAATGGAACAAGACAGTGTAAATGTAATACATTCCTTAAAAACAAATAACCATGAAATAAACTCCCAATCAATAGGCAATGTTTTATGTATAAGCTTTCGTCGTATGTTTTTTCTATAGTCGGCAGTAACAGCCTTCTAAGTAATTTTTGCGTACAGCTGATTGGTTGAAACTACCATAGCACAATGAAATTGCACAAAGAAAGCGATTTCATTGGATCTCACAGTCCTAAAATGCAATTCGTTTATCAAGTTCAGAGCGAATATTCCATGATTATTTTCTCGAATAATTTGTCGTTTTCGTGTTCTGAATTGGATGGACTTCCAAAAAATCCATCAATTCAACTTTTTTCTTTTTGCTGTAACATTGTGTGATACGTGGATGATCCGTTGTTTGAGACAACCTGCTTTCATTCGCTACCTTGCTCTTTCCCATAGCCAATAGTGGAGGTGTCTTTCGAGTACGACAACATTTATGAATGTCATTCCTACATCCACAAATGTTTTAGAGCTAAAAATAGGGCTGGTTGAGCACAAATTCAAACACTTTTTCTCGTATCAAAAATGTTTGTTCTTGGAAACACTTGCTTCCTCTTGGGATTAACTTTGCTGATGCTTCAACGATGCCGAGATATCTGCAAAACTCCGGACCGCAGCTGTCTGCGATGGGGAACGAGCGCGCTCAGCACCACACCATGCGGGTCCTTCGCTTCGCCTGTTTGCTGATGCTTGCCGATTTGTGGCTAAATTTTCATCATACTATCGGATCCGTTCTTAAACCGATTTCGATGTCCGTTTTCTTCGATCTCAAATAGCAGGCACTCGCAGTTTCAAAGCACAACTGAAGTTCCGAGTTGTTCTCATATCTCAGCATCTCTGTGTTTGTAATTCACGTGATACCTTGCTATGGATAAAGAAGGAATAATGAGAAAATAAAAGTTAGAAGAGGTGGCATTACCACCATATCCTTTTCCTCTAACGCTCTATAGACGGTACAAACTCTATGGTGATGCTGATCTCAATTTTCAGATGTTTTCGAACGAAAATCTGAAAACCCTTAACCATTGCCGTGGAAGACTGCTTGGGCACTTGGTCTTCTTCGTGTTGAGTTTAGTACATTTTTAGTCGTTTCTATTTATTACAAGTGACAGACAAAAGCCGATTTATTATAGTCTTCGGCAGAGGTTTTATCCTCGGCATTGATTGATAATTTCTTCAATAAGATGACACTAGTCTGGTATTACAGAATTTATTCGCATACAATAGCTGACATTTCCGCGGTTTCACCTTCTTCAGAGTTTGGAGAGGTTAAATTGACATGCGTTCTACTCAGCCAAGCACTTTCGCAACCCTAGCAGTTAATACTTAACACACAAATTTGCATTCGCATAATAACCAGTATCGCTCAATCTGTTTGCTGTCTGTCGTCCAAACACTTTTCACTTGAGTCATCCTAAACAGGTTTGAGTTTCGCCTGCCCCATTCACGCTCCACAGAACGAATATCTCCAAACGCTCCAGTTATGTCTATCTAGATCGGGAAATAATCATGTTGAACGACTTAGCTCCAGAGCTCCAGAGTTGACCAGAATGAAACCAGCGGCTTGGGGAGCTTTCATGAGCATCGAGAATGCAGTGAAGAAAACAAAGAACACCCGACTCCTTGCCAACCTTTTCGACTCAATGGTACTTTCTGCTCTGAAGTATTCGTCAGAAACCTGGTCGATGCGTAAGCAGGATGAAAGGTCACTCAGCGTTATTGAACATG